ACACTGAATGGTTTAAATTCAGGAAAAGTTTGTCCCAGGGTTGTATTCTTTCCCCATACTTACTCAGTTTGTGTGCTGAGCAAATAATCTGAGAAACTGGATTATGAAGAAGAACATGTCATCAGGATTGGAGGAAGACTTTCTAACAACCTGGGATATGCAGATGATACAATATTGTGTGCTGAATGTGAAGAAACCTTCTACAAATTGGGAGTGATGTTGTTTAACTATCAACAGAAGAATTGTTAAACTTTGCTACATGCACACAGCGGCACATTACACAACGTTAAATAATACCAAAATCCGCAAAACAACTCACAACATGGATGAATCTGAAGAAATCAGGCTGAGTGGAATTAGTCAATCACAAAAGTACAAATATTGCATGAGAGCACTGTTGTAAAAAGTTACGAAAATATTTTCTTGCTAAAACAGTGGCTTCCAAGGAAAAATACTAGGCCAGTTAAATTTTAAAACAGAGACATACTGTCATATCAAAATGTTTTGCTGTTGTTGTTTTTTGAGAAACAAAAGCTATTGTTTGTCAACATAGCCTCCCCATCTAGATCTACATACTTCTGAAGGCAGTGGTTTCATCTCTCTAAGCCTTCTCCGAAGCACTCTGCCGGCTTCAATTTATGCCATGTGAAATTGACAGGTTTTGCCTCCTCGGTTGACTCAAATCCTGTTCCTCTGAAATGTTCTTTCAGTTTGGGAGTCCAAAAGAAGCCTGACGGGGTAAAATCAGGTCTTTAGGGTGTTCTCATAGAAAAGCCCTTGCTGCGCTCAAACAATGAGCAGGTACATTGTCATGTTGGGAAAAAAAGAATTCCGCAGCACAAATTTCCTGGCCTTTTTCTCACCAATGTAGTTTTCGCTTTCCTTAAAAATTCCTTCATAATGAGCCTCTGTGATCATCCTATCAGGGTTACCCTTTTGGGAACCCAGAACACAGTCACCATCACCTTCTGAGCTGACCTGTCTGCCTTAAATTTAACGGGTCCTGCAGATCTTCTCCCAAGCCACTGTTTTGATTGATCCTTTTTTTCTGAAGACACCCTAATGAAACTAACACAAGTGCCTTACTGAGAGAATATGTCTGCAGAGATCCTTTGATCATAGAGACATACTTAAATGTTTTGTTTGGAGTAATCCCATGCATGTATGAACTGGAATCCTAGCAGCAATATGTTTTTATTTACCCTCTATATGTAATGAGAGAGACAGGAGGAGAGAGGGGCAATGGGATTGCTTTGTTGGTTTTCGTTGAATCCAAAGGTTCTCAGGTAGTGCAGTGGTGAAAGACTCAGCTGCTAACCAGAAGGTTAGACTTTTGACCTACCATTTGTTCTGCGGGAGATAGATTTCCAAACAGCTCCTAGTGAAGCTGCTTGCTCTTCTGTGAGGGAAAGTTGGAAGTGCAGGGTCTGAAGGCTTCACTTAGAACTCCTGTGTTTATTTCTATGCATATTTATATGTGAACATTTGCAATTGAGGACTGTTTTTAACCAAGAGCATAAAAACAGCAGGATCGTTCTTTCACTAGATTAGCAAACTTTGAATTTAGAGAGTGATACTCATTAAGGAATATTTGACCAAATAGAGCTCACAGCAGTTTGTTACGGGAGTATTCCTGGCCCAGTAGTATTGTGGCAGTCCAACTCAGCAGGGTCCCACCAAGGCTGCCAGTAAAACCTTGGAATCGAACTGATAACACATTAACTGTGATGATTCTTAGTCACTTATTTATTTTGGTGGCAAGTGTATGTGCTGAGTAATTTCCTAAATCCCTTTTTTTTTTTCATTTATGGAAGTTAAAAGATTTAATAATAAGAAACAGTCCAACCTTTTCAAACAGTTCAAGGTATTCTCATAATGGTTCTACTGAATGGTATCCGGTGTGCCTTGTAGACAGTCATACTGCTAACTATTCCAAGAAGCAAAACATTGCTTTTGTGCCTATGCTTTAGAAAGAATCATTATGAACTGTTTTCAAGAGAATTTATATTCATGTTTTGATGTAAATTCATTTACACTTATTTTCCCCTTTGATCTAGGCTGCTGCCACTCATTCCACTGAGGGTCACGTGGCTGGTAGCCCTTTAAAGTTGCATATGTGCAAAGCCTAGCATAGGGAAATACCTAATTGGATAAAATGCATACAATTAATGTATCAAGTAGTGTGACATAAATCTACAATGAATAAGTATCATATCATCATCTAATATTTCTCCTTTGCAAAATATGGAAGATTTTGTTTGCTCACAGCGTCATGATAATGTGGAAAGAAACATTATACAATGTCGAGTGTATGCCACTAGCTAATTGCATTCCTTTGAAGAAATTCATTTCTGATTGCCCGACTCCCTTTCCCTTTAATACTGAATTCAAGAATGGGCTTGGTATCTAAGGCCTCTTGGAGATTCAGTATCTTTTCATAGATTTTCCACAGTGGTTGAAAGTATTCAATGCAAACACTTCAAATTTCTCTAACTCTGTCTTTTCTCTCTTTCCCCAGACTATGTCAGAGAGTCACAATGACCTTGCACAGTAACAGTACAACCTCGCCTTTGTTTCCGAACATCAGCTCTTCTTGGATACACAACCCCTCGGACACAGGATTACCCCCCGGGACAGTCACTCATTTGGGCAGCTATAACATTTCTCGGGCAGCTGGGAATTTCTCCTTTCCAAATGACACTACCAGTGACCCTCTGGGAGGCCACACCGTCTGGCAAGTAGTCTTCATTGCATTTTTAACAGGCTTCCTGGCCCTGGTGACTATCATCGGCAACATCCTAGTTATAGTGGCATTTAAGGTTAACAAGCAACTGAAGACGGTCAACAACTACTTCCTCTTAAGCTTGGCCTGTGCGGACCTCATTATCGGGGTCATTTCAATGAATCTGTTTACTACTTACATCATCATGAATCGATGGGCTTTAGGGAACTTGGCCTGTGACCTCTGGCTATCCATTGACTACGTGGCTAGCAATGCCTCAGTCATGAACCTTCTAGTCATTAGCTTTGACAGGTACTTTTCCATAACAAGGCCACTCACATACAGAGCCAAAAGAACCACAAAAAGAGCTGGCGTGATGATTGGTTTGGCTTGGGTCATCTCTTTTATCCTTTGGGCTCCCGCCATCTTATTCTGGCAATACTTTGTTGGGAAGAGAACTGTACCTCCCGGGGAGTGTTTCATCCAGTTCCTCAGTGAGCCCACCATTACCTTTGGCACGGCTATTGCTGCCTTTTATATGCCTGTCACCATTATGACTATTTTATACTGGAGGATCTATAAGGAAACTGAAAAACGTACCAAAGAGCTTGCTGGTCTGCAAGCCTGTGGGACAGAAGGAGAAGCAGAAGCCGAAAATTTCGTCCACCCCACAGGCAGCTCTCGGAGCTGCAGCAGCTATGAGCTTCAACAGCAAAGCCTGAAGCGCTCATCCAGGAGGAAGTATAGCCGCTGCCACTTCTGGTTCACGACCAAGAGCTGGAAGCCTACTGCAGAACACATGGACCAAGACCACAGCAGCAGTGACAGTTGGAACAACAATGACGCTGCTGCCTCCCTGGAAAACTCCGCCTCTTCTGATGAAGAGGACATGGGCTCTGAGACAAGGGCCATTTACTCTATTGTGCTCAAACTTCCAGGTCACAGCACCATCCTCAACTCCACCAAATTACCCTCATCCCAAAGCCTGCAGGTGCCTGAGGAGGAGTTGGTAAAAGCAGACTTGGAGAGGAAAGGCCACAAGCTGCAGGCCCAGAAGAGCATGGAGGATGGAGGCAGTTTCCAGAAAAGCTTCTCTAAGCTTCCCATCCAGCTGGAGTCAGCCATGGACACAACCAAGACCTCTGATGGCAACTCCTCCGTGGGAAAGACGGCGGCCACTCTACCTCTGTCTTTCAAAGAAGCAACTCTGGCCAAGAGGTTCGCTCTAAAGACCAGGAGTCAGATTACTAAACGGAAAAGAATGTCCCTCATCAAGGAGAAGAAGGCAGCCCAGACCCTCAGCGCAATCTTACTTGCCTTCATCATCACCTGGACCCCGTACAACATCATGGTCCTGGTGAATACCTTCTGTGACAGTTGCATCCCCAAAACGTATTGGAATCTGGGCTACTGGCTGTGCTATATCAACAGCACGGTGAATCCCGTGTGCTATGCGCTGTGCAACAAGACTTTCAGAACCACATTCAAGACACTTCTGCTGTGTCAGTGTGACAAGAGGAAGCGGCGCAAGCAACAGTACCAGCAGAGACAGTCAGTCATCTTCCATAAGCGTGTGCCCGAGCAGGCCTTGTAGAACACAGTCTGAGCAATAGCGTTGACCAAATGCACACACCAACCCACATACCTTAGGAAGGAGAAAGGAGAGGCTGTGGGTAACCTCTGGCAGCGATAAGCCTGTGTTTTCATCCAGATGGCAAAGAAGCTGCCTGTTTACCGATCCTTGAAATAAACCCATTTTCATATAAAAGTAAAATACAAATTCAGCAAAAAATGACATACTACTGAATATGAAGAAATGTATTCTGAAATAGACGTTAAGTGTTTTTTTCTTAAAGAGTGAGAAAAAAAAAAAAAGTTGCTTCACAGCAATGATATGTGGGCCTTTTCATTCGCATGAGCTCTGGAGTCTCAGATGAGTATAGCTAGCTGACCCGGTGGCCACCTTCTTTCCCCAAAGGGCCCCCAAAGTGTTGATCCAGACCCCCATGTGGCTAGTGAATCCATGATTCTGAAATTATTTAATAAGTAGCAAAGCTGAACCTTCTTGTCCCAATAGAGCTTCCTTGTCTTCTCTTTGGCGTGTTGTTAACTCTATTTGTGGACTTGATTCTTGATTCTTGCAAAGTACTGTTTCGTGCAGTTCGTGTTTCGTTCAAATATGAATATATAAGTATATTATATTTGCGTGTGAATTTTGCACACACATACATGGTGTATATAATATACTGGGAAACACTGAACTGGCAAATTACTACTGCAATATATGCTTCTAGTACTTTGGTAACTGAAGTTCTTTAGGATCCTAACACAACATAAAAGTGAACTAGCCCCAGTTGAATGTTTTTGACCCCAGGGATGTTTTTCATAACTGCCTAGAGGAATATTCTGCCCTGAGCAGTCAGCCCTTTCTGGCCAGTCTGTGAAGAGCTCAGGGTTTGACCAGACTGTAAGTCTAAACAATCCCTTTGTCGTTCTCTTCTGCAACAAAGGTAAACGGGGGCTCTTCGCAGCTCAAAGGATGAATTTATTCGTTCAAATCTGAACACGTTTCAAAACAATATTTCTGCTGCCTAAACTGCTTGAAACGCAATTGTAGTGTCACGTTTGAACAGCATTACACAGCAATATAGACGGAAAAAAAACAACAGAAAAATTGTGAGAGGCGAATGGAGGAGGACTTGGGATTTGAGATCTTGCTCCCTGGGACCTTCCAAAAGAAAAAGGGCTTAAACCTTGGTAACATAGCAGTGGCCAGTGCTTTCTGGTGTCCCCGCCGCCCAGGAACAGATGGGGTTTATAAAGTGACATGGCTTCTAATGAAAGGACTGCAGTTGAAAAAGTCTTCTAATTAATTTCTTTTCATTTTGGAAAATAGTTTTGTATTATCCTTTGAATTGACCAAAATTATACACGTTTTATTTTCGGGAGGGGATGGGACACTGCTGTTAATGTTGTTGTTGGGATTCTTTCTTTTCCTCTTGCTCGGGCTGGGGGTGGGGTGGGGGGAGGGCGTGGGGAGGGCTGGGGAGACACCCTTACCTTTGTCCAGGGCCTCAGTGTTGTGACCCCAGAGCTGGGCTCAAAGCTGCTTTTGTATTCAATGTGAGGTGGTGTTTACAGATGACTTTGACAACAGTGGACATGTACTTGGTGGTGTCTGTGTATCTGAGCTATTTAATTTCGTGTTATGTTTATATGAAGAAATATTTATGCATACTTCACCAAGTGTTTATTTAATGTTGATAAATATTACTCTTCACTCTTTGGCCATGGTGGCCTTTTAAAGGGATTCTTTAAGGTCCACTTGAGCAATGATTAGTATCTAGTGAGCTTTTTTGTGGTTAAGAAGAAAGAAAGTCATCCTGTTGGCATCAGTGAGCATCTAACTTTCCTAGGTAAGAAGAGTCAACTGTAACATGAGCGTCAATTTGAAAACCACCTTTTAGTTAAACCTGATGGGAACTGAACAAATAAACCTTCCAACCTGGCGTTTGAAATTTCATTACAAGGACAACAAGCAAATGCATCTAATTGAAAGAATGATTTTCTTTTCCCCCCACATTCAACCAAAGAACAAGAAAAACGAGAGACTCGTTTTCTAAAGTGTGTAACCAACTACAGAATGTTATGTGATCCACCTGTGAAACGTCTAGTAAGCAATTGCATCTATATTTTATTACTCAAGTTGGCCTGGCACTAATAAATATGTGAATGCTTATTAAAGTCTCCTGGTACTTTGGTAATCCCCACCCTTTTGTGGCTGCTGCCCCGACGCCCTTTCAAATGGACTGTTCCCTGTATTTTAAAAAAGAGAGAGAGTTTGAGAAATGGAGAAACCTTGAGCTTGGGTAGAGCTGTGATAATTAATGACAGTATGAAATTAGCATGATGATCTCCTGGCCTTTGCCCTGGTATGATCTTGGCAAAGGCAGAAACGAAACCAACCAAAATTCTGGTTCTCCTTTTGTGTTAGTGGATTGATTTATTTTTAAAATGTTTTTGTTGTGAATGGAGTGAAGGTTTACAGAGCAGATCATCAGTTTCACATCCAGTGACTAACACATTTTTTGTTTCATTTACGGGTTGTATTAAAGAACTCTTTTTAAGCCTCTTATGGATGAAAGCTGCTTTTAAATATGACCTGTTGGCTGCTGATAGGACTGTTGATTATATTTTTAGAAAGGTATGTCCAATACTTGGTTCATTTTCAGCGACTGAAAATAAGCAAATCAGATTTATTTGAATGTAAAAAAAAAATGGAATCACATTAAAGATTGTTTGTGTTTAGACGTAGTTACACATGCATTTCTACTTAAAGAAGATGTCCTGCGTTTACATAACAAAATGTCTTTATTCCCAAAACTGGGAATCTAATAGTTTCATTCCACATGAATGAGATTTTCAGTTTTCAAGATTATTTCATTGAAAAAGTAAAATAATCAAAGCTAAAATGAACCACACATGTAGAGTCTCTCTCCCGCTCTCTACCCCACTCCCACCCACCCTTTCTCTCTCTGACTGTCTCTGTCTCTCTCTCACACACACACACAAACACAACCATCCTTGCAAGATGGAGTTAGAACATGAATTACTTTCACCCATAACTCCTACCCGTGGTCTCTACCCTGTTGTTGTTAAGTGCCACAGAGTCAGTTCCAACCCATACTAATAATGTATAGGGTTTCCAAGGAGTGGCTGGTGAGCTTGAACCACTGACTTTGCAGTCCAATGCATTAACCCACAACACCACACCAGGACTCCAGGCTCGACCCTAGCTCTCCACAATATCCTGAATCACCCTTTGCCTCTCAGGCCCAGCCTTGGTTTTCTAAATAAGTTCCAATTCTGTTGACTCATTTGTAATAGAGCTGCTCGGTTGGAGGAGTCTGCTGTGTAGACTTGAGTGAGACCAAGTAGGAGCCCTGGGGCTATGTGGATGTCTAGTACGTACCTGAACAGAGATGGTTCCAAAATGAGGACAGACTGTGACAAATTAGGCAACCTATCAGCAGCACCTTCAAAAGGCACAGGATTTAGGAAAGGATCCCAGAGTTTGAGCCCAGCCTGCCACCATCTTACATGTTTTGAGATATGCATATAACTTCACCTTAAAATTCCTGGGTTCTCTCCTTATGTTTAAACTAAGCATCAAGATCAAGTCATCTCGAATTTGCGTTCTCGTAGCCAAGAAGTCAAAATGAAAGTACTGAGTAAATAACTACAATGATGAATAGTTGGTGGACAAATAAACATTCCTGCTTCTTATATGACCGTCAGAAGTATTTACCTGTTGTATTTCAGCACGCCAAAATCTAAAGAATTCCATAATTTATTAGTAAACCTGGAATTGTATTGCTTCCAATAACACTCCAGCCTGGGACCATCACCTAAGTTCTGATGTCCCTACTTAATAGAGTTGTTGAGTCAGGGATGTTTATTTGGCTTTTGCAATGGGATTTCTTGTAATGGGATTTAAACTATGCAGACTGCTGCACTCAAGTATTCTTTATTCCACCTGTTGTTGTTTGTTAAGTGCCGTCACGTGGGTTCTGACTCATGGTGACCCCGTGTAGGGTTTCCAAGGAGTTGCTGGAGGGTTTGAATCTCTTACCTTCCCAGGACTACGTCTTCCAAATAAGCAGCCCGTTTTCTTCCGCATCATCTGAAAAAGTGTTTTTCCAATGTAATGGACAATAAACTTGGTTCAGCGGTGCCAATTACAGCCCATAATAGACTCCAAGACAATGCCACCACCTTCCCACCACAAATGTAAGTTAAATGCTTTCTTCTTTTGTTTCCCTGACTACTCTGTTTTGTAAATATTCAGACTCTTCTAGAATTAGTGTTATGGGAGTAAATATTTCAGACTTAGCAGAAAGGTTCTGGGAACAGTAACCTAGGGCTCTTTAACCAAAGCAAACCCATACCATCAAATTGATTCCAACTTTATAATGATCCTGTGTAGGGATTCTGAAGCTATCAATCTTTGTGGGAGCAGAAATCCTCATCTCTTTTCTGCAGAGTGGCTGGTGGGTTTGAACTGCCAATCTTGCCATTAGAAGTCCTATGTTAATCCAACAATACCACCAAGGCTCTGTAGAACTGGAGAAATCCTTTTTTTTTTTTTTTAAAGACTCCAGTGATACTGGCTGAGAAAGATGGCTTATTTTGGTATAACGAAAATGAAGAATGAAGATCAACTTCATCAAGTCAAGTTTGTAGCTGCACAATGTTTTGTTGGCTATCTCCAAAATGAGAAAATGTTAGTCTTGCTGCTAAATGGGCATACATTGTACATTCACGGAATCACACATGTAGACCACAGTGTACTTGGATAAATGAAAGCGGATATCCAAATGCTTCAATGCATTAAGTCTATGGTTGCTCCAGTGAAACCACAGAGATTCAACTCAGAGTTCCGATTCTACCAGGCAGGCCTGGGATTGGACAACTCCAAATGATCGCTCAGAAAGCCAAGGTAGTTGACATTTTAGCTGCACAAGACATTCCGTGTAACAGATAAATAGACAAGGAGACCACACTCTCAATTCATGTTGTTGTTCAGTGCCATTGAGTTGGTTCTGACCATACCAACCCTCTGTAGGGTTTCTGAGAGAAACTGATGGGTTTGAACTGTTGA